CCGTTACTTGTAACGCCGTTACTCCCATCACTGATGTTGCCTACCACGAATTTACATTACACTGAAAAAATAATTGATTTCCTTTTTATGATTTTATGATTATTTGTAAATTAGTTACGTGAAAATGTAAATCCGTGTGAAACTGTAAGAAATTCTTGTGGGTAAACGTACATGAATATTATCAGCACAATGTTCATGGAGGGGTACAGCAGAACACAGCGTGCTGTCTCACGGTTTTAAATACTTCATATAAAGATCGTTGAGCTCAGTGGTGTCACCAGACACATCTGGCAAAATGGAGAAAAGCCCAGCAGCCAACAATGGGAAAGAAAAACTCCCTTTGATCAGGAAGAAACTGGGCAGCTAACTCAACCAATTTAATGTTGTTTAATGGGCCAAGTTTCTCATCACTGTTTCATCTTAATGACACAGGAGCATTTACGATTGTCTGTTCGTGTATTTTAGTTTTTTCCTCTCAATCCTTTTTCTGTTTGTAACTTTTTCACAAAAAGAAACGATTCTTATTCTTCAAACAGAAAGAAGAGCAGAGAAGTGAAGCCCACTGTGGACACATCCACCTGCAGCTCCACCCCTCCGTCATGACCCCGCTCGCCTTTTCTGCTCGGCCTGCTTTAGACTGCAGGCTGTGTCGCCGCTCGCGTCCATAACGCCGCACATCTTTGGCCTGTGGGAGGGGTCGTATCCATAGCAACCTTGTTGCGGTGAGGCGAGATTCTTGCACAGTCTGATGTTGCACTTCAGTCACACAGTTGTAGTTGTAAAAATCAGCTCATTTATTTCCTCAGCCCATATTATGAAATCTCTGCTATAAGTTAGCTATTTACACGATTCACTCAAGCCCCCACAAATCATCACGATCATCTTTAGAAATGATTATTTACACAGTACAAAACATTGCATACATGATCATCCAAACACCAAAGCCCCCCTGCTGCACACAAAACAAAAACATCTTTTTTTAACCACAATAATTGTGCATTTTTTACATGTTAATAATCCTCCAACCACACCCCGATTATTAATGAGTCACAGTACTGGTCAGCTACTAAACTATATTTGTCATCCAGACTGTCGGTAAGACGGCGGCCCACACATCCTTTAGAGTATCCCAGTGTATGTCAGAGTAAATGAAGACTGAGGAGCAAAGCAGTAAAGTTCAGGAGTTCATGCTGAAAGCTCAGCACAGAGGGAGGAAACGCTGCCGCGGCTCAGGGACACGAAGGGGAGGAAATCCTGTTTTTTTGCCTTTTCAACATTTTGGTAAATAAAATAAAATCACCAATTAGCCAAACGGAGCCTGTGCAATCAGAATCACACTGAGGCCAGACGAGGGGCTTGTTTGTGACGACTCCAGTAAAACCAAATCAAAGCAAACAGCAGCAGCGAGTCACCGCGTCAAAATATTCTTCAACATGTGCTGCTGGTCGCTCTGTTCCTCAGATAACCTGAGGACCTTCTTCATCCTGGTCTTTTTTCAGCAGCAGACTAAAAACCACACCCATGATGATGATGATGATGATGATGATGATGAAGATGAAGATGAAGATGATGAAGTCTAAACTCTTTGGTAAGCCAGCTCATCCGTTTGGCCGAGGACTAAACAGACCTAATAATCTTAAGATGGGATTCATTTCACAGATGCAATGAGAAAGTTAGAAAAGCCCTGAGAGCCTGAGAGGACAGAGACAGTGTAAACAACCACCAGGGACAGCTTCCTGTTCATCCAGCAGCTCTGGATCAAACTCTTCTTCTGTCAGAACAACCTTCACATTTGGGCCGATGTCAACAGTTAAACCATTTGGGCTTCATTTTGTTGGAGGTACACCAACACCTGGGTGTCAGGTACTTTTCCTTTAAACAGATGGCAGGGACAGATGTCCTCACACAGCCACGATGTTATTCATCTCCCATTTCTGAGTGGTTTTACTGGTGTCACAGTCTGATACGAACACTTTGTGAAGCAGGTCGGAGCGGTCCAGACATTTTCCTGTAAGGAGAACACAGCAGCGGGATTACTGACGGACGCTCACAGGCCACCTACAAAACACACAGCAGGGGTGGGGACCTCCAGACCTCCAGGTCCTGCAGGTTTTAGACATGTCTTGAAGTTCTCCACCCATGGTCTACACACTAGTGCTGTCCACATGCACTGAGGGACAACTGTGGGAAGGCTGCCCTTCAGACTTTAACAGTGATTGTTGTGGACACGATTATGACTGCTGTGAGCGTGCAGGGTGTCACTCTGCAGGGGGTCACTCTGCAGGGGGTCACTCTGCAGGGTAATGAAAAACCAAACCAGGACCTTGTGTGCTGGTCTGGTCTACATCCTGCCCAACACACACTGCAGGATGTAGACCAGACCAGAGCATGGGCAAAACATGGATGGTGTGTGTTCCTGTCTAGCTATCTTTGTGAGGACCGAAAGCTGCATCTTGCTATACTTGTGAGAACCAGCAGTCACTTGTGAGGACACACACACCGGTGGTTTTAGTGTCAGGGTTAAAATTAGGTTATGGTTTAGGATGAGCGTTTGGGCCCCTCCTCCAATTGGAGCACGTGCACGGGCCATCCCTCGGTAGGGCGTCTGGGTCCTGGATTGTCCACGGCGTCTGCCATGGCGCACCAGGGTCCAGTCACAAGTTCATCCAACCATGATGAGTTTTTTGGGTTTTTTTACCAAATGAAAGGAAATTTTTAACTTAAATTTTTAATAAGTTTTTAAAGAAATAAAAGAAAGAAAATGAATTGTTTTTGAAAAGAACCTTTTAGTTTTTTAAAGAGAAAAGAAATCAAATGAAATTATAACAAATGAACATGAATTTGTGCGCCTATGTGGCGGCGTTTCGACCCGTGAAGGTCTTCTTCAGGTCTAGTTGCACACAGTGAAGAGAGGAAATCAGGCTCTCAGCGACCTGCTCTGTGCGATGGAGTGCAGTGAGCAGAGAGTGCCTTCCTCTTCTGTCTATACCCACTTTTACACGTCTGTTTGTCAGCTCGAATTTCGTTTCAGAAAGTCAGATTAGTTTTTTGCTTTGTTGGTTCTCAGTTTTTTGGTAGAATTTTTCCAAATGTATTT